CTTGACAACCGCTTGTTGACAGACCATAATGATCGATGTCGCATCTGTCGCAATGTGAACCAACTACACCCTCAGAACACCTGCACTCGCCGGTTACGGGATCACAAAGTTCGTCGAGGGCACCCACATCGCATTCGCATAGTTGGCAACGTGCACTCACGTTTCCGTAACCCTCAATACAGAAGGAACAGTCACGACCAGAGAACAAAGGCTTGCAGGGACACTGACCGCTCATCCGATCGCAATGAACGAAACCACTGCCAATCGGGTCACAATCGCATGCTAAAACGAAAAATGGTGTTAAAGTATTAAAGAATTGGATTATTTAAATAGTATTGAAATTAGTATGAATATTATTAAATTCGTTACATTTTTTTTCTATTATACTTTTTTTTTTTTGATATATCACGTAATCGATAACTTTTCAATTTTCTAAGATTAGATATATTATAATATTAAATACTCACGTAGACAATTTTGACGTAATGGATCCCCATAATGAGCCTCCTTACATCTTTCACATTTCCAACCTTCGGTATTTCCACGGCATTCTAAACAACGTCCTGTTTCCTGATCGCACGGTCCACCTGAGCAAGGACATCGCTTACAGGTATCACCGGGAGTCGATGGATTACCATAAAAGCCCACGTCGCAGCTGCATTATATTTCGTAATATGATTTATGTCGTCATGAAAATTAAATAAGGTATTATAAACGTTCGATCTAGGATAACTATATATTATATCATACCTTTCACAATGATCGCCTGTATATCCTTCGGGACATTGAGTGCAAACATAGCCGCTATTATCATCCGTGGGATCCTCCAATTGACAACTTGGACTGAAATTATTTGACTCGATGGACAATGGACAAGCACATTTTTTACAATCTTCCGATGTCCCTTTCGTTGCAATCCCATAATATCCTGTTGAACATCGATCGCATTTTGGACCGACCGTATAATGCTCACAGGTCTGAAGGATAAACGAGGTTTTTGAAATAATTTTTTTTTTTTTTTTATTTATTTCTAATTTATCGTACTTTTATAATATACTATAATAGTATAATTTTATAATATTATTGATTCTTTTAGAAAATTTCTAACTATTTGTCTCGTTGCATCAATCTTGACTTTGTCGATAGTGTAAGAGTATTAAAAAAAAAAAAAAAAGAAGAAAAAAAAAAAATAAATAAATAAAACAATATTCATCAGAAAATTTCCTGTTCGACATTAATATGTTTAATTGTTATTAAAAATTGTTAAACATTTATTATTATCGATAATGTAGAATTATAGATATATACCGACCGAAGGTACATATCAATAGTTGTAACTTTTTACCTTATCGACAATGGAAAATTTACAAAACTTTAGAAATATATTCTTCGTACAATCGAAACATTTAGATTGTTATAAAATAATACGATATTTTTATTTTTATTAAAAATCGTGAAATATTTTTTATCATTGATATTGTTGATTCATGCATGTACCGACTGAAGATAAATTAACGATTATAATTTTCTACCTTATCGATTGTAGCTTACCTTACATTCGCCCATAACAAGATCGCAAGAGGAAGCATGACCATTGCAATCACACTCAACGCAAATTTGATAATCCTGATGATTAGAACCATTGCTCGTCACTTTCACGTATCCCCAGGAACAATTCTCGCAAGATAGACCTGTATATCCTTTAGGACACTCACAGATCTCTACGAGACTTTGACTACCATCTTCCGTTCGTACGGGATCACCTACCGGAAGGATTGCAGATAGAAGACTGAAATAATAAATTAAGATAATCATTAAAAATGAATATAGATTGGATGGAGTAATCAGGAAATGGAAAATGTTATGATTATCGTCATACCTTCCTTCGATTTGTTCGGAATGATATTGTGCTCTAATCATGAGATATTTTAAATCAGCTAATACATGCATCATTTGAATTCTACTGACAGAATCGCCGCGAAAATCGGTTCTCCTTAGTCTTGTAGGAATGTCTCGGACTTCACTTCGCACGTGGTACCAGCCTTGCTCGGTCAAGGCCACGGATATCTCCGCCTCCTGACCGTTATACTGTTCCTCGCCGTAAGCTATGCGCATGCCATTGTTACCCTAAAAAAAAAAAAAAACCAAAAAAAAAAAAGAAACAAAGAAAGAAGAAAAAGAAAGGAAAGAACAGAAAAGAAAAAAGAATTGAAATGGTCAAGGATGATAAAAAAAAAAAAAAAAAAAAAAGCTCAAAGTAATCTTTCTATTTTTCTTTTTTCGAACATTTATATATGTTATGTACTCTTTCAATTTACACTTCATCACACAAATCATTGGAGTACCATTTCGAAAGTAGATTTCTACGAAAAAGGGATTACTTACGACTAAAATAACGTTGGGTTCGGTGGTAGGTTTGCCACTGGTATCGCCACGCATGACGACCCAGGTGACGGTATATGTTAGATTACTACCGTAAGATGAAAGACGATTTCCCGTATAGATTCGTGGAGCCAACCAATACGGACTTTCATATTCGACCTCGAACGCAGCCACGGTCAGCCAACCATTGTCTGTGTCTAATGTTGGTACTACTCCTAATGAACCATTCATATCGGTAATCAACCAATTTTCTAACGAAGATATCTGTAAAACAAGAGAAGAATTTTATCAAGATTTATCACGATATTAATCGAATGATAAAACGTATGGATCACATTTATGGTAAAACCAGAAGACGATCGACGTTTATTGAGTGTATCCTTTTTTTTTTTTTTTGTTTTTGTTTTCTTTCTTTTCTTTTTCTTTTTACCATCGTGTAATAGAGCTTCCCGGCAACGCAACGATCAGTTGCACCAAAACAGTAGCAAGATACGCAACCATCAAGATTATCCTTGGTCAATGCAAAGTATCCTGATTTGCATCGATCGCAAAATTCACCGTCGACGTTGGCCTTGCATAGGCAATCACCCTCGCAATCGTGAGACGGCAGGATACCCCGTGAATCACATGGGCATGGCATGCAATCAGGATACTGACGATAACCCGCTGCACATTGATCACATTTGTATCCCGAATAGCCGGATTTGCACTCGCAGGCACCTGCTACCTGGAACATCACATGTGTTATGATCACTTATTCTTTTCGATAATTGATTATTTTTATTTTATTTCACGCGAGAGATCCGTCTCAGAGAAATTCAATCGCATGTTCAATGACTGTTTGATTTCATTATGAAATGATTTGTAATAGTAAAACGTAAGAGGATCAGGATTTGGATCATATAAGAAAGATAAGAATTACCTTTCCCATATGTGTATAAGAATCGTCTGGTGTACAATAACCTGTACTACCATGAATGCTACAGTCACAGGGCAAACAGGGTTCAGATGCATCGGGTGCAACACCGTTAGGCCTATAGTAACCTATTTGACATTTCTCACAATTGATACCAGACGTGTGTTCCTAAAAAATAAAAACAAAAAGATAAAAATAATATAAAAATATTTAAAATCTATATATGAGAATTATATATATATATATATATATATATATATATATATATATATAATTGAACAATATAATTGAACGAATCGAATCGTATCGAAGAATTATTGCTAGTTAATACTCATTGTTTACGATCGACATTCGAAGAGCTCGAACTCCATTCAGTGATATGATTATCTATTAAGTCGTCGATGAATGACAGACAAATATACATATATATATATATATATATATATATATGTGTGTGTGTGTGTGTGTGTGTGTGTATGTGTTTTGAAAAAGATCAGAGAAAAGGAGCTTCGTGTTTTCTTTCTTTTTCCCTTTTTGTTTCTTTTTTTTCTGTTTTCTTTTTTCTTTTTTTTTTTTTATCGTTAACTAATCTCTTCGATGCAGTCGCAGCTGCATCCCTTTTCAACCACGAAGTGCAATAAAGATTAAAGCCAAACGATTATTTATACTGCGCTTTATGCATTTTAATGATCCCATAATTATTAGTCTTTAATGCTTTTTTTTTTCTTTCTTTCTTTCTTTCTTTAACATCACTCCATAATCAACTTTTATTTCACATTATATTATTTTAATAATGTTCTAATTTTTAATAATACACTCTAAGTACAATTTCAATAATTAATTACTTGCTTAATAAATATAAGAATTAATTTTCGATAATAATAATATTCATGAGATATTATGTATATTCAATGATTCATTACTTTTGATAACATGGCAAAACTTCTTTTCGATAACATTTATGATTAATTTAATTAACTTAAAAAGAAAAAAAAAAAAAAAAAAAAAAAAAAAAAGAAAAACAAAAAAATAGGAAAAAAAGAAAAAGAGAGAAAAATGAAAATTTTGCGTTCATTCTCATAGAATTTTTCTTTGTTATTCTTCGCGTTTGTAAAAAAGAAAAAGAAAAAAAAAAGGAAAATACAAAATTGTACGTAATATTAGACTGGACTCACCGTACAATTGACGCAAACACCGCCCCCTCGAAACTTCCCTCGAACGTCCATAGACATCCTCTTATCGGCAACTTCCGGATCGTAAACGCATGACGTTGCATGTCCATTGCAATTGCATTTCTCACAATGAAAGCCCTTGGAGGCGGTACCGGGCTTCCATGGTATTTGATTGTACATGGGACAACACTTTTCGCATCTTTCACCGCACGTGTGACGTTCGCATTCACATTCTTGATGCTAACAAAAGAAGAGAAAGAAAAAAAAAAAAAAAAGAAGAAGAAGAACAAAAAAAGAAATATTTAAACATTTTGTTCTCTCTTTTTTTTTGTTTTTTGTTTTTATAATAAATTGTCTTCTCACACGTCGAACAGATCGACGATTATAATTTCAATCATTTTAATATCAAAATCTAAGACAATTATTACATATAAGTATTTTCATTTATATGTAATATTATTATTATTATTTATTATTTTATAATGTCAGATATTTGATTTAATGAAATTAATTAATCATTATGAATTAATTCTATGACATGAAATTATAGGCTATTTATTAGAATATTTCATTATATCGTTATTTATTAATTATTATAGAATCATTATAGAATTATTAGGTAATTTGATAAGTGAAATAGAATTACAGAGTTTCCTTTTCTCTCTCTTTCTCTCTCTCTCTCTCTCTCTTTCTCTCTCTTTATAAAACATTTTCCATGAAATTAATGAATTTATCAATAATTGTCATAAAATAAAATTATAGATATTTATTATGGAATATTTTATTAAATCGATTAATTAAAATTATTGTGATAATTTTCATAAAAATAAAATTACGATTATTTTATTTTATTAATAAAATATTAAAGATATTTATAAGAAAATTTATTCTCAAGTGGAGAAAAATAAAGACATTTTTGAGATTAGATTTTCTTTTTCTTTTTCTTTTTTTTTTTCTTTTTCTTTTTCTTTTTTTTTTTCTTTTTCTTTTCCAAGCCGATAATATAAGAAATATTTATATGCTAGTGAGAAAACGATTATCAAGGCAATAAATAATACAACGTAGAGAGTGAACTCGAAACTCATGATTCATAGGCCGAACGCTCGTTTCTCTTTAAGCTTCTTTAAGCGACAAGACCACACCGCTTGTGTTGTATTAGCAATTCTCTGGATCATTTCTCTGTTTCTCTATAACCAAACTGACAGCTGTTACGTTGATTAAATTTCAATATCTTTTAGAAATTGTCTAAAATCATTTAGGTATCATTTTATCGTTTACAATTTATTTTTCAAAATTACTCGATACATCAAATTATCCGATATAATATGATTTTAATTTCAATGAAAAACAATATTGTCGAAATTAGAAAATTCATTAGAATAAAATTTCGATAAATTTGAAATTGTCTACGTTAGCATGGAAATTATTTTAATCCTTCAATGATTTAATTCAATCATTGATTTATTTTATTTTTTATTTTTTTTTCTTTTAATTAAAATCAAAGATAAATATTGGATGAAAATATTATGAAGATTAAAAAGATATTTTATAGAAGTTAAAAAAAAAAAGAAAAGAAAAGAAGAGGAAAACAAAAATTGAATTAATATTTAATTATGTGAATGATGAAAGGAGAGGAAAATATCGATCGAAGATTAAAAGTTGAGTTGATTGAGTTGTCGTAATCTTAAGATATTTCGGATGCCACTTCGACGATCCACGTATTCAGCAATGCGATCGCGATTCGATCTATGCAGCGATCCATTCGCACGCGACCATGAACGACACCGCGCATGCCAAAAACTAATTTAATTTACTCGAGCGAGACATCGCCAAAAGTCGATTCTAATCGAGTTCCCATAAAGAGAGAAATAAAAAACAAAAGAAAAAAAAAAAAAAAAAAAAAAAAAAAGAAAATACATTACTATTAATTTTATCCCGTTAAATCAATCGTTAAATTTGCATTTCGTTATATTTCAATATATTTAATTTGCCATTTAATTTTATAATATTAATTTCGAAAATATAATTTATTATCAACAACGATCAATCAAATTTATTCCAACGAATAATTCTAATTATTAATAATTTGATTATCGTTAATAAAATCGATGATAAATTTGTTATTGTCGAAAAAAGAAATTCCTATCTTTTTTTTTTTTTTTTTTTTTTTTTTTTTTTCATTTGCAATACTTTTATACGGATATATTTTCATTTAATTTCTTTAATTTTATACGATCAAAATAGATACGAATTATTATAACAATTTTGATAACGTCAAAATATTATTTCGATCGTTAAAAAGATGTTAAGACGTTGATTGTTGTTATTGTTTTTCTTTTTTTCTTTTTTTTTTTTTCTTTTTTGCTTTTTTGCTTTTTCCTGAAATATCTTCAAGGATTTCATTTGTTTATTTTTTAATCGATCGTAATGGAAATAGGGAACAGGATGAGTACGTGCTGTGATTAATGGTTGTTTGAAGGTAGTATTACGCGAAAGCCAGTGAGAAAGACAAGAAGAATAAAAATAAAAGGTAGTAGAGAGAAAGAGAGAGATAGAGACACACACACAGAGAGAGAGAGAGAGAGAGAGAGAGAGAGAGAGAGAGAGAGAGAGAGAGAGAGCATGCGAGAGATCGACAGGAGTGCCTTTACCTCGAGGTCAAGAAAGGTTTTATTATTGTGTGTCCGAGGCACATAAGCCAAAGGCAGTAAGCAAGTGTGCCTGTAACTGAATGCTAACAATCTGTAGTCACAGTTTGAGATTCGTATTTTATGCAGCTGCCAAGTTTCTATCCATATTGAGAAAGTATGTCGATTGATCGTGATCAATAGTAAAATACATTTTAATGTTTTCCTTAGGTATTATGTTATTTAAATCTTTTTTTTATTTTTTTTATTTTTTTTAATTTTTTTTTATTTTTATTATTTTTTTTTTAAATAAAATATTCCTACACAGATGAATATTATTTTACTTGAGCTAAAAGTGATTATATTTTTTTTCTTTTCTACTTTTTCCTTTTTTCTATTTTGTTTTTCTTCTCTTTTCTTTTTCTTTTTTTAACAATCACAAACACTAGATTTTCTCAGATATGACGATTAAAATGTATCACAAGGAAATAATAAATATATATGTAAGATATAGTTTTTATCATTATGGAAAATTAAGAAATGTAAAGAAAATTAATCGTAAATATTTGTACATATTATTATTTTGTAGTAAAAAGTTTAATTATATTTAACGACATTAAAAACTTTAATAACGATTTATAACTAAATTTAGTAATAACTTTGGTAACAAATTAAGTAATAATTTATATATCATAGAAATTGATGAGAAACGATCGAAAAGAAATATATGATGTATTCTGTATGATTATGAAAATTTCATGATAGATTTTATGCAAGTAGCAATAGGAGGACACGAAACCGCAACTCCGTGTAAGGTAAAAAAAAAAAAAAAAAGAAAAAAGAAAGAAAAAGAAAAAAAAAAAGAAAAAGAAAATTAATGCGGTTCCAAAAGCGCGTACGCGATTCCTCGTGAGAGATCGCGAAAGAATGTTGATACGTGTCAACTCTTCTCTCTCTCTCTCTCTCTCTCTCTCTTTTTCTCTCTCTAATTTTCTATCTCTCTTTCCGTTTATTTCACAGTAAGAAGCTTCGCACGTTCCTTGCGGCTTTGGAAGAGCAAATGGCAAAGTTCCGAAACGTTTCGAAGGAAGGAACGAAAGATCCTGCCATTAGCGGTGCTGCCAGACAAAGGACTGACAAGTTTATGGCACTTCCGACGGATTTATTTCCTGTGAACCCTGTCCACCATAATCTTCTCTCTCCCTCACCCTCTCTCTCTCTCTCTCTCTCTCTCTCTCTCTCTCTCTCTGTCTATTTCTCTCTTTCTCTCTCTTTCTAGTTCGAGTGCGAGATTCTAACTTTAGAGAACGGTCCAAACGGAAATGTCCAACAAAATCGATTTCGTTGAAAGCTACGTACATATGTTATTGACTTTGGTGAGTTTATATATATATATATATATATATATATAATATATATATAAGTAATCTATATAATAAACGTAGAAAACGTATTTAAATCAATATTATGAAATATATTCGTGGTGAAAATTTTGGTCACATTATTAATAAATCATTGATTTGATTGATTATTATCGTTCTTACGATGATCGAATAGAAATTTATAATGGAAATAATGATTGAAATATCGTGTATACCATTTTCTATTAGAAGATTCATTTCAATTTTGTTTAATTAATATCATTATTAATATCCGACATTTATGATATTAAAACTGACGTATAATATTTATTGTTACAAAATTGAATTTTAATTATTATTAATATTATTATTATTATTATTATTATTATTAATGTTATTATTAAGAATAAAATAAAATTGATAATTTACCCCATGTTGTACACTGTATCGACAACGAGCAGCATGACCAGAACATAGACAACGTCCACCGATATTGATCTCCTTGATCGAATAAAATGCTTTTCTTTTATCGGCTATTACAACGCCGTTCCTTCGTAGACCTTGAAAACGAAGTCTGACGTATCTCGCTTGTGTAAATTCTTGAAGGGTTGTACTGTGATTTAGGGCACCGGGTCTACCATTAATCAGATGCGTATGAATCTGAAATACAAGTATAAATATATAAACGATTTTAAAAGGAAGGATCTATTGATCGACTTTGGTCGATAGAAAATCATAGAGAAGAATAAAGATAAAAATAAAGATAAAGATAAAGATAAAGAAAGAACAAAAAAAAAAAATAGAAAGAAAGAAGGAAAAAGAGAAAGAGAGAAAGATTGTTGTTTGTCCTGAGATTTCTTTTTTTTTTTTCTTTTTTTCTTTTTTTTCTTTTTTTTCATTTCTTCCCCCTTAAAAATAAAATATCGCGAAATATAATGGATATTGATTATCGATCAGGATAGATATTATTTTTATGTGTTTGTGTATTCGATTTGTTTGTTTCTGTACGCGTATCTCTCTTCTTCGAAAGTATTAAATTCGATGTCACAAGGAAGAAATAAATCATCCATGAATGGCGCCGGTAAAACGAGTGGAGAACGTCGTCGTCCTCCGCAAATGGGCCTATGCGCGGTTCCAAATATAGAACAATCAGTTGCTGCATTTCGGGATAATGGGTGCACCTAAGAGTTCTCTTCTTTTTATTTTTCTTTTCTTTGTTTTTTGTTTTTTTTTTTTCTGTCCTTTTTCCTTTTTTTTGTTTTTTTTTTTCGTGATCGCAAACAATAGTCCAAGGTGAAAAAATTGATACGTGTTAACATAATATCGGAATAGTAAACGGAAACGTATGTCTTCTAATTATCCATCTAATAAAAATTATTATCTATAACGATTGCTTAGCTATATTATACTTTTATTTTAATCATTATCGAATAATATTCGATTCTATTTTATTTGAATAATTATATCATTGAAATAATTATATCATTGAAATAATTATGATCGATCGACGGGGATAAATTTATATTGACGATCGAATGAAATTAAATGGTTAATAATTTTAATGGAAAATAATTGGCGTTTATTTTAACTTCTTCTTGTTTTTTCCCTCCCCATTTTCTTAGAAGTTTTGATTGACAATTAAAAATCCTCAGTGAGTAGAGGAGAAAATGATCGAGCCTGAAATCGCTTTCGTGCAGAAACGCTAAACGAGATGAGAGAAAACGAAGGAATCGTTCTTGAAAAGGGGTGGGGAGAGAAGGATCGATGGTACAAAAACGGAGATCCCTACATTCCGGCCATGTATGGTGCTGACTGACCATATATGGACGTTTGAATGCACACTGCACTTTCTACAGGGGGTGAAGACGAAAGAAGGAAAGGGTGCCTGCTTCCTATTTTTCTTCTTGTACATACATTTAACTTGAAACGATTCAACGTATTTAAAAAAAAAAAAAAAAAAAAAAAAAAAGAAGAAAAATATCATTTGCCTGTGATCTAACAAAGGCTTAGCACATTGTAATAGAAAAGATTATAGTAAAATACTATAAAAAAAAAAAAAAAAAAAAAAAGGTACATTTAAAATGGTATAATAAAAGTATGTATAAAAATATATGTTAAGGTGTGAAAAAAAGTAAAGTGGAGAGGTGCAATGAGATCGTTATAAGTGAATGTAAATTTTTTGAAAAAAGAAAAAAAAAAAAAAGAAAAAGAAAAATTCACTCCGATAAAATTTAGTTTAGAAAGAAATCATAATAGACAATATTAATTGAGCTTACAATAAAATACAAAAGGAAAAATTGAATTTAGAATATTGAGAAAGATTGAAAGTGAAAAAAAGAAAAAAAAGAGGGGGAAAAAAAAAAGAAAAAAAAGGGGGAAAAAAAAGAAAAAAAATAATAAGAAAAGAAAGAAAGAAAGAAAAGAAAAGAAAAGAAAAAAGAAATAATAATCTTCAGAACGATTTCTTTTCCCCCTTCATCTTTTCTTCCCAAGTTAAAACAAATCATAGAATTAATAATTACTATATATATATAAAGAGAGAGAGAGTGAGTGAGAGAGAGAGAGTGAGTGAGAGAGAGAGAGAGAGAGAGAGAGAAAATATTAATCTGGAACTAACGGTGATACATAGAATAATTATATAAAATTATTCGTTCAAGTTTATATCGAATGAAAATAAACGAGAATTATCGTGAACGGAAATTCATTCTTGCTTGTGAAGATCGCTCAACTAACGACGATCTACAAACCCTTGTTACTCTTAGTTCACTGGTGTGTAACGTTGAGATCGCGAGCCTGCTAATCATCCAATCGCGTAATTATATGACCGGCAGTGTACGTCGAACGATAATTAACGATCGACCACACCGCGATGGAATAACGGACAATTTCTCGCGTTTTATGCGTGTAATCTCTCTCTCTCTTTCTCTTTCTCTTTCTCTTTCTCTTTCTCTTTCTCTGTCTCTTTCTCTATCTCTTTAAATTGTCTTCTTAAGTTTATTATAAAGACTATTGATAAAACGATGGCAATGACCATCGTTCTGTTAAAGACAAGAAGATTTATTATATCTGCATATGTATCTTGTATATATGTATTCTATGTATGTATTAGAAATTAGAGAGACAGAAGGGAAATGAATTTTGATCTACGTTATTATAATTATTTTTCTCTTATAGTTTTGATTTATATTAATGTTCTTTGATAAGGGAATATATAAGCATTGCGAATGAATATAAGGTGACGATTAGGAAGTTAGAAAATTGGGGAGACGAATAATGAGAATTTTTATTCGTATATTTATAGCCACTTATTATCGATTGTTATTAAAATGAAGGAAGAATGAAATAATTATAATGATAATTATTAGAATATTAGATATTATTCATAGTTAATTTTCAACTTTGAATTGAAGTTCATTAAACCTTTTAATTAAAGTCCATTTAATATTGATTACGATGATCTAATAGTGACGATGATTAGGAGATTAAATAATTAGAGAAATGGAATGAGAATTTTCATCTAATTAATTATAATTGTTATTCATTAAGAATAAAAGAATGAATAAATGTGTACGTATGTACGTACATATAATAGATATTATTTGATATTAAAGATGAATTTAAATTGAATCAATTTTATTTATAATATATCTTTCGATTAGCATCGATTTCTAATGATATTATTTTGATTATTTTCATTAAGGATATATGATGAATTATGAATGAAAAATTATGATGATGAGAGATGGAGAAATGGTGATTATGATGATTTATAATAATGCTGATGATGATGATGATGATGATGATGATGCTGATGATGATGATGATGATGATGATGATGATGATGATGATGATGATGAAACGTACTTCACCGTTTTCCATAGGCGTCGACCTGGAGTAAATGCTCGTACAAATGACTTCATCGTCATAAACCGGCTTACCAGGCACAGGTGGTGCCGAATATCTCGCCCAACATTCTTGGTCGCTTGGTGCGTAATACTGCCAGGGTTGAAAGTTCACGTTATCGATCGATCTCTCGAGTATCCATGCAGCTGGTCTCGGAGAATTCGCTGCTTTCACGATCACATATTCGATTTGATAGACCTGTAAACAAAATTGAAATCAAAAATTATAATATTTCTATTAGTAACAATTGAATAATTATTAAAATTAACCACGATAGTATAATTAATAATAATAATAATAATAAGAAGAAGAAGAAGAAGAGTAATAATAATAATTTTCTAAATTTTGAATTTTTAATAAAAAAAATTAGATAATTAGATTTCAATGAAATCACGTGTAATCTTCTATTAGTATAATAACATAAGATTATTATAATATTTGTCATAATATTTATGAAATCATTTTCAAAGAACGAATTTATAAATTTCAAATGATAATATGTCATTGTTAAATTTCAATTATTCTCATATTAAAATAATTAGTCTAATTAAAAAAAAAACAAAAAAAAAAAAAGAGAAAAAAAATTATAAGACAAATTTTTCCAAACGAATCTTTGATATTTCGTAATAAATTATGTAGAAAATTAGATAGTTATTAAATCGTATTAGAATGTAAATATAATGAAAACTTTAAAGATTTGTTCTAATATCAATCAAGATTAATTACAAATAATATAATAATAATAATAATAATAATAATAATAATAATAATAATAATAATAATAATAATAATAATAATAATAATAATAATAATAATAATAATAATAATAATAATAATAATAATAATAATTTTTATTGAAAACTTTTTCTTTTGAATTGATCGGAAAGTGAAATAATAAAATTAAATTAGTTGATATTTTCAATATCAATTAATGCGTTATATTGATGCGATATATTGAGGAGAGGGTAGGGGTATATATTGAAATAAAATTATGGATGAAAAAAAAAAGAAAAAGAAAAAGAAAAAGAAAAAGAAAAAGAAAAAAGAATTGTATTCGTTTCTCGAAATCGTTTTTCAAATTGAGAAGAAGACGAAACAACGGGGTATCTTGGTCCACCCTCAACATTTCAGTTTGAGTCTTTGTGGTTCTTCGTTTTCGTCTCCTTCGTTGTCACTGTCACTGTCGCTGTCGCTGTCGTTGTCGTTGTCGTTGTCGTTGTCGTCGTCGTTACGCCGGCATTGTGTGAGACCAAGTCGACGCCCACTTTCGGACCATAAAGACAGATCGCATGTCCGCGATACCAAGAGAACCCGGCTCCGTTTCCTTCTAAGGACTTCGTCCGGAACGTCTCTCGCTGCTGCGAGTCCCGAGGAAGCCAACTTCAATTATCCGGAGTCCCTTTCGCTTACGTACCCGCGTTTACTCGCATATTTGTAGATATCTCTTCGATATATCTTTTTAAGTTTCTACATATATATGTATTTATTCTATGTTTATTACATACATACATAGCATACATACATATATACATATATACATATATATATATATATATATGTATCTTACTCGTCAACTTTCGTTCAAATCACTTTTAACGAGTATTTATTTGTTTGTTCGGTTGTTTGTTTGTTTATTTTTTGATTTCTATAGATATTAAATATTAATATCTTTCGTCGAAAGTTATGAAAGTTTTTCAGTTTTTCTTTTTTTTTCTTTCTCTAATTTGTCATCATTTTTTCTTCTTCCTTTTTCGTTTTTTTTTTTTTTTTTTTTTTTTTTTTTTTTTTTTTTTTTATATACAGGTATAAATATAATATTAATGATAATATTTTGATAATTATATAAAGATTAATTTTAGAGTATTTATTTCTATATTGTTTTATATATTTTTTTTGTATATAATCTCAAATTTTAAAAATAGAATTCCAATATATATATAATTTATTAATTATATATGAATAATAATTTTTGCTGATAATAAAATAATATATAATAATTAAATTATGGTAATAATTGTGTAAATACAAAAACGATATAGATATATTAAATGAATTTTTCTTTTGATAAATAAAAAAAGAAAAGAAGAAAAAAAAAAACCCAAAGAAGAAAGAAAGAAAAGAAAAAAGAAGCAAAAATTTCTATTATTTATGTCTACATTTAATATATGATATACGATATAAATATTATTACACGTTTCTATGTCCTCAATCTAATATATCTTTCACAAGGAAGCTAATCACAGTCAGTCAGAGAAGTCAAGTAAAGTCAAGATATTCTCGAGTAAGTTTAGAAACTTACCACCTGGCTCTCTCATAACAGATGCGTTCTCTCTAAAAGATCAAATATTTATCTCTCAAGGTTAGACTGTATGTTTTAGTACTTATCTTGAAGATAATATATACCGGATAGGGTAGGTCAAGTTAGGGTCTTCGAAAAATTTCCTTTTCACTTTTTTCTTCTTTTTCTTCATCTTTTTATGTACATACATACATACATATATATATATATGTTTTTTTTTATTTGCTTTTAATTTTATAATTCGGACGAAAAATTAGAAGGAACATTAATTTCTTTCTTTTTTTTTTTTTTTTTTTTTTTTTTTTTTTTATTGATTAGATTAGAGGAAGATATATTTTTCATTGATATACATTAATTTTTTTTTTTAATTAATTTTTCAATTGAGTTAGAGTTTATCCATTTGAAACGATTAGACGAGTTCTTCTTTTCAGGCAAACGCGTAGAAAGAAATAATCTTTTTTTTGTGTGTATATATATATATATACGTGTGTGTGTGTGTGTATTTGTGTATCTAGTCGTACGTTCTCCGGAGAAGCATAGTGAGTGAGTTAGTCTCGTCAGGAATCGACCTAGAAGAAGGCTCCCACGATCGTGAGAGGCGACGGCTAGTCGCCTTCAACTCGTGCAGCCTTGTAAGGGCGCGTCCAGTATTAGCATCGAATGACAGAAATGGCTTTATAGTCGCAAACGATCGATCGATGAAGAAAATCGATAATTCTTGAATCCTTTCAAGTTTCAACAAGCTTAAGATGTCGATCGATTATATTCATGTTCATTTATTCTTTAATGATTTAATACAATTGGAATTAAAGAAAATTATAATCTTTATATAAAATAGTTTTTTGTAAAAATTAAAAGAAAAAATAAATAAATAAATAAATATATATATATATATATATATATATATATATAAAAGAAAAGAAAAAAACATGTGGGTATATATTAAAAATTAAAATTTATTTAAATATAAAGATACATAGTAAAATTTAATTTACGATATATTTCAATATTAATTTATTAATTTATTAATTGTGCATATTAAATATATAAAATTTAATTATACGGATAGATATATAAATGTATAATAAATATTTCTTTTTATATAACTTTTACTATTAAAGGAATAATTTCATTCGTTGTTCTATCAGATATTAATTATTCCAAATGACATTTCTTTTTCTTTCCTTTTTATTTTCTTCTTCTTCTTCGTCGTCTTTCTTCCTTTCTTTGAAACGTTATATTATTTTGATCATTTTAATAAGCTATAAAATTCTGAATTCTAATTAAAACTTTATCTCGTAACAAGTTTAACGAGTACCAAGAACCGATGGCAATACCAAGACGACAGCAAAAGGGAATTCTTTTCTATAAACCGCGTAGACCGACACTTTCCAGCCCTGAGAAACGAGTAAGTGTATTTGAGACGCAACAGGGGCAGAACCTTAACAGCTTCAGCTTCAGCTTCAACTTCAGCTTCAGCTTCAACTTCAGCTTCAACTTCAGCTACAACTTCAGCTTCAGGAACCGGCCGTCCGGTAAATTTTCTTGCCGCTCTTACCTACCTCCACACGCACCCCATTTACGGACCTTCTCAGATACCGTCCAATGCCAATTTATTAGCGTTGCCCTCTCTTGCGCACGTTTTTAACTGCATCCTTGGATTACGTCCTTAAAGGGATGATGCTCTCTATCCTTCTCATTCTCTTTCTTTTTCTTTTTCTTTTCTTTTCCTTTTCTTCTCTTTCTTTATTTTTCGAGATAGAGATAAATAGATAGATAGATAGATAGATAGAAAGAGAGAGAGAGAGAGAGAAAGAGAGAGAGATTTTTAGATATTTATAATTTTCTTTCATCGTTGGTTATTTTTAAATTACTCTTTTTTTCTTTTTATAGAGAAAAAAAAAATCGATCGCTATCGGCGACTTTAATGTCGCATTTAATTATTAAAGATATTAAAATTAAATTTTGTTTTTCTTTATCTTTAACTTTTGCAGATAAAAAATTTCTTAATATTTTGACATTGTCTTTCGCTTTTTCCTTTTTTTTTCTTTTTTATTTGTATAATAAAAATAATAATTACTTTATAACGTTTAATTTTGCTTTATCGTTCTAAGACTTTTTAATGAATAATATAACAAATAATCTAATCGTGAAATGATACATATACATATATATATATAAAATTTTGATTGATCAAAAAAGATTTAAAGCAGAATTTCCAGTCATCAACGAAACTCTTATCTTTTTCAGAGATATAATCGGATTAAAGTCCTGCGAAGAGTGTTCATCCCAAATATCATTTTCGTTTCCATCTATGGACCAGACTGTCAACTCTTGAGAGATTAATCGGTCTAAAATCTCAGGCAAGAAATGTTACGAGAGAAATAACGTGATAATAACGTGCCACGTGGTAGAATCGAATTATCTGAAAAGGAACGCGTGTAGAGGGGAGTTAAGGGAAAATAAGAGAGGAAAATAAATTCAATTTGAAAATCATAGAGGGGCGAGGGAGACGGGGATAAAAGTCAAATTGCTTTCCCGTTGAGATCTCAAAGGAAAAAAAAAAAAAAAAAGAAAAAAAAAAAAGGAAGGAAATAAAAATCATTGGGTGTACCAGGCAAAGTGCCAAGATTAAAACGAATCACGAATTTTCCTCTTCGTAAGGGAAAAGAAGATAACGAAAAGAAAAGAACAATCACCGATGAAAATTTGAAGTAAGATATTCGAGAATTATAATGAAAGGAAAAAGAAAAAAAAAAAAGCAAAAAAAAAAAAAAATAAGAAAAGAAAAGACAAGGAAGAAAAGAATTGATGATAATTTCTTCTGATCGTTAAAAAAGACAAAAAAAAAAAGAAAAAAAGAAAAATAAAAAAGAAAAACTATCGCAGAGAAAAATGCTTTTCATAGGAGACAATAGAAAAGAGAAGGAAAAAAAGAAAAAAGGAAAGAAAGAAGAGAGAAAAGGATGGACGAGAAAATGAACGAAAGATAGACGTAAAAGAACTTTTTATGAAAATTGTAAGTTGAACGAAAAGGAACCATAACAGAAAAAGGACAAAAAGAAATTTGAAAAGAAGAGAGAGAGACAGAGAGACAGAGAGAGAGAGAGAGAGAGAGAGAGATTTTGCTTGCTTTTTTTTATTAATTAAAGTAGCTTCGAAAAATAATTGAATATAATTTTCGTTGACTTGTCCCACACATCGAAGTAACACATTCAAGACAGCCGGAGTTATGTTCTGTGGGACACCGCGCCGTCTGCCCTCGAGGATTCCAAGTCCTGGTCTTCTGCCAACACGATCTTGGCTCGCATATCCTCTCTCTCTCTCTCTCTCTCTCTTTCTCTCTTTCTCTTTCTCTCTCTCTCCAAAGAGCTCACTCTCATCTTTGAAAGTCGTTCGTGCACGTGCCATAACGCTTCTGAAACTGGACTCGTTTGATAAGTGTAACCGAGTGAAATTAGCTTGGCCGTTCACAAGGAAGTCACCAAGCCAGACACGATTTATTATATACATATATATATATATATATATATATATATACCTACATGAACATGAATTTCTGACTATGACCGGAAGTGCATGAACTTGACGAAAAAGAAGAACGAATAATGTCATCGATTATGGCAATTATTATCGGCGAAGGATCTTCTTGAAAAAAGAAAAAAAAAAAGAAAAAGAACAAAAGAGAATCGGAAAAAGGGATAAGTAATTTTTTTTTTTTCCCAAATAATTTATAAATATATTTTATGTATATCTTTTTTCTTCTCTTCTTTGTTTCTTTCTTTTTTCTTTTTTTCTTTTTTTCTTCCTTGTCGATACTAATATCGTAGAACTTTGTTGGATAGTTAAAACGGTTAAACGATTGGACGCCTCGAGGTTTGTTTCTAAAGACCGTGAGGGGGAGGCTCGTTACCAAGAGAATCGCCTTCATTACTCGAGAAAGTCCGAGGAAACGTATTATCGTATTGGTAACTGGGTGGTCCAGAAGCATCCATTTTACGAGCTCAATGAGTTTCACTCTCGGTTAGTCCGACATGATTCAATTCTAAAGTTTAAAATATCTTTTGTGCAATACGTTGTAAACTCTGACTTTTCTCTGACGATCAATTATATCATTAAAATTTAAACGAACACAATTGTTATTGCAATTGTCTTGCAATTGTTTCGATCGGAGGATCAATCTTTGCTATTGCGAACTATTGATTGCGATAATTAAAAAAGAAAAAAAAAAAAAAAAAAAAAAAAAAAAAAAAAAAAAAAAAAAAAAAAAAAAAAAGAAAAAAAGGAAGATATTCAGTGAAACGAAAACAATATATTCTTTGAAATTTTTACGATTTTAATTTTATAATCGAAATTATTTTGCAATGTTTCTTTAAGTTTTTTTTTTTTCTTTTCCTTTCTTCTTCTTCTTCTTCTTCTTTTACTTCTCAGGAGAGAAATTCTTTTGGCAATTTTTTTTTGTTTCCTCTTCCTTTTTTTTTCTCTTTTTTTCTTTTCTTTTTTTTTTTTTTAAGAGGGTTCTGATATTCGCAAACGTTTACAGAGAAAGAGAGAGAGAAAGAGAGAGAATGAGAGATAGAGAGAGATAGAGATAGAGAGTTCGGTGTTGGTATATACTCGAAGGAGTCGGAAAGTATGCAGGTATCGTGTAGTAGAAGCTGCACACGGGTAAATACCTACGGAGATATACCTGCGGTGCAGCATAAGGTCTTGCCTCTCCATAAACGGTCGAGTACCTACTGCGTTTATTCTTTCTCAGAGCTTCTCCCATTCCGTTTCTCTTTTCTTTATCTCACAAACCACGTTTCTCGCCATTGCCGACACGAGAAATTCTCATCCATTATAAATATATATATATATATATATATATATATATATATTCGAACAAAATATATATATATATATATATATATATATATATATATTCGTTCATCATCAAAATTGAATTTCATCTATGATTTTTCGTTTCCTTTTTAATTAAAGAAAAGAAAAAGAAAAAAGTTTCATTAAATCTCATAGATCATAAATTTTATGGATCGTATCTTAACCATTGTTTTTTTTTTTCTTTTTTTTTTTTTTTTTTTTAATTAATTAATTAATTAATTTATCATAGATATATTTTTGTATTGTATTCATTTCTATGAGATAATAATTTTGTTCGTAATGAAAATAATTCGAATTCAACGATATCCATATTTCGTCCTTTATTATTTTCAAAACGATCGAGAAAAATAACAATCACGTTGAATGAATTCATTTCATAGAGACAGGGAGAGAGAGAGAGAGAGAGAGAGAAAGTTATCGTGGACAATAATAATAGAATTAACAAAAAGAAAAAAAAAAAAAGAAAAAGAAGAGAAAATGGGATGAAAATAAAAATAAAAAAAGAAAAAAAAAATATAGTGAATGAACAGGAAGGAAGATCAATTGGCATGCGGTAGAAGGTAAAGGATAAAGAGATGGCTGCCTCGTGTCGATGATGGTGCTCCCTTCTAACATCGAGCTCTGTAATTATCGCCATCGGCCGTGGGAATTGAATTACGAGGTAAATTCGTGACGCCATGCTTTTACTTGGCCCTTGCACATTTACACACACAAACACACACAAATATATATATATATATATATATATATAGTAACATATCGATGGGAGAGCAGAATTGTTGAGGTGATTTCGACTCGATCATTCTTCTCTTTCTTTCTTTCGAAACACGATCCTCGTGTTTTAAATTCTTTGCGATGTTTCTCTCGAAACAAACGATAAAAGCCGACGAATTCAGGACCTTTCTCATATATATATATATATACATGTGTGTGTGTGTGTGTGTATGTTTGTTTGTATTTGCTAAGATTAATGACTTTGTTCGAAGATGAAAACGAAATTCTATTCGTCTTCTTTTTCGAAATCTCTCTTTGAATTTTTTTTTTCTCTAAATATTATTATTGAATATATATATGTGTCTGTGTGTTTTCTTTTTTTAATACCATTACAATATTTAATTTTTAATATATATATATATATATATATTAAAAAAATTTGTATTACTTAAATATCATTTTTAATTATATTTGGTAAGGACAAAAAAAAAGAAAAGAAAAGAAAGAATTATATTAAGAACAAAATATAAAATTTTATTATTATTATATTTAAATATTTTAAATAGCTTAAAATATATACATTGTATACATACACACGCGCGCATATATATATATATATATACATATATATATACATGGATACATGCGTGTGTAAATTCGTGCGAATGTTAATATACACAGGTTAGCGCAGATGCTCTCTATCGTGATCCTCGTCCCACGATCATAAAGTCCCGATAAAAGAAGCACCATAGCCCTCGCCTTTCGACCTATCACCCTTTAGCTTTGCACACGACGCATGAGCAAGCTCGA